CTGAAGAGTTGGTTAAAAGTGGATTGTGAGAGAGACTGAGATTGGGAGAAGAGTTAGCATTGTCCAAAAAGAAATGTGCCCCCTCATTACCTGACAGATGAAACTATCACCAGACCTCTGCCCATCACCTTTATAATAATAAAAAGAAAGTTAGAAAATAGAAGTGGATTGTTGAAAGAGAATGATGTTTCCAACTCTTTCACGTAATCAGGTTCAGGAGTCACTTTCCTTTTGCACATTATTTCCCAACTGCAAAATTTAGCAGTTGGCCTCATTTTTAGCCAGATCGCCATAAAGAAATCCCACAAAAGGCAGGCTTGTGTTTGTAAATTGGAGGCGGAGCGCATCGTATCTTGTGCCTCCATCCAGCACCGAGGAGAGTTTGCTGCAGTTGGAACACATCAGGAAAATCAGCTTCGCACTGGATTGTAACCCTTACTGATCAGAATTATGCCCCGTGTTAGACAGAGTGGATGGCTCCGTGCGCAGGAGGTGAAGGGAGCAGTCAAGCGTTAGCGCACGGAAGACACCGGCTCGCGCCCCGCTCTCCGCTCTCCGCTCTCGGGGGTCGCAGCCCCAGCTCTCACCAGCCCCAGGAAGGCCAGATACACGGCCGCGGTGGTGAACCAGCGCAGCAGGCGCTGGCCGCGGCTGCCCCGCCGGGAGCCCTCCACGGCCTCCGTCTTCGTCGCATTCTCCGCCCGGGCCTCGGCCTGGGGCGGCCGCTGCCCCGCAGGCCCGGCCCCACGGAAGTCCGCTTCCAGCTCCAGCTTGGCCGCCCCGGAGAACGCTCTAGCTGCCCACGGCCCCAACTCCCGGCCCTCCGGCCCGGACGTCCCTCCAGATGCCCACTCCCCCAGGGGCTGGACACAGGCACGGCCTGGCGAAGCTGGACTTCGGCCTTGGGACTCCGCCGAGGCTGGCGGTGGAGCAGACACGCAACCGGCAACTGCCAGACACCCGCGCCAAGCGGCTGGCGGAAATGACATCAAACGCCAAACGCGGGCTGGGCTCCAGACCGGAAGCTGACCTCGTTGCCTAGGAGACCGCAGGACTGGGGCTGGGCCCAGCCATAGCTTCAGAAGATTGGCTCACAGACTCTTGTGTCCCGGCTGGCCTCGCACCTCTCAGTCTTCTTAGTAACTAGGTCTACAGTCAGCAGCCACTAGTGTGTGGCTCCTGGATTGGTTTGTTTTGACACAGGGTCTAACTAGATAGCCAAGCATCCTGCCTCAGCAGCCTAAGGGCTGCTTCTAAGTAAACCCCTAACAACTTAAAATCCTGTTTTTTTTTTTTGTCAGTCGTGGGGCTTGAACTCTGGGCCTGGGCGCTGTCCCTCAGCTCTTCAGCTCAAAGCGAACGCTCTACTACTTGAGTTACAGCGCCACTTCTGATTTTCTGGTGGTTTATTGGAGATAGGAGTTTCACGGTCTCTTCTGCCCGGGCTGGCTTTGAACCGTGATCCTCAGATCTCAGCCTCCTGAGTAGCTAGGATTACAGGCGTGAGCCACCAGCGCCCGGCAAAATCCTGTTTTTTTAAAATAACATTTTCCCTGACAAATAAGTTAATTTCGGGTCCAGTGTTTGCCTAGCCGGCACAACGCCATGGCCACAATCCCCATGACTAGAAAAAATTATGGAAAGGTACACATTTGCCCTCTAACCATTGCTCTGAAAGTAAACTAGCTTCATTGGCTTATTTAATATTCATTTAGTATTCATACCATTCATTTAGAATTCTTACCACTGTTTTCCAGCCGATTTGACTTCTCAAAATGTCTCCAAGCTAAAAATAACATACCTGCTACTGATGAATAACTACTCTTCCTTCTATGGAGGGAGACTTGGGCCACAAAGATTGCCTACCAAGGTTGATCAAACTGTCCCTATAGAAGGCTCAGTGCTTCCTCATCATTTCCCAAAGTAAATATTGATCTGTAAATACTGGGACCAGTTTGAAAGATGAATACATCAGCATTATATGCAATTTTTTTCTTCCCTTAAACTTACATTTAAATAAGGGATTCAGAGCTCAGTACACCCCCGCCCCAGTTCGCTTCTAGACTCTGGTATTGACATTTAATAAAATGATTACAGTCTAGATAGCCATATTTCTTTTTCTTCTTAAGAATTATTCAAGTAAAGACAAAGCTGCAATGGAGACTGTAGGAAGGTAGAGATTCTAGGTACATGAAATGCCTGTCAAGGGAAACTGCCACAGTGAGAAAAAGCAGAGGGTGTACCAACTCTTCATAAATGCTGCTGTAATGTATTCATCTTGTTTTCCTGAATCTAATACACTGTGAAAAATCAAGTTTTTTACATTATTTTCTATATGTATAGGAAAAAACTGTCAATTGAGTCCAAAAGTGGTAAAACAAAGTAAAACAACCAAAATATATCCAAAGTAAAATCTCGCAACACTGTAAAGGTACATTTGTTATAGGACACACCCTGATTTCACAGGAGTTAGAATGTGACTGAATCATGAAATGCAGCATTTTAACAGACCCTTATTGAGAAAATCAGAAATAACACAATAAACTTTAAGTACATTGAATTAGAGCATATTAATAATCACTACCAAATTCCTAAAGCTCTTTGTTTCTGTTTCACTACTCAGTTGACATGAAGAAGGGACTGGCAATCACAGTAATTCCTAGAGGATATCTCAGACAAACTATGAAAATGAGAGATTTTCAATTTAGAAATCATTTCTTGAGTCACAGGTGAGGCCTCTGTTAAGTGCCTTTGTGTTGCTGGAAAGCTGAGTCCTGTTTTGAAGCCAGCTGTCTTTGGCACTGCACGGTGTCCTCTTCATAGAGCAGAAATACTCAAAGGACAGATTAGCATCCTCTGGTTCAGCCTACAGAGAAAGAAAAGCATTAAGCAAAGCATGTGAGCTTTCCAAGGATGTGCTTTCCTAGCACTGCCCTCCCTACTGTTCAAGCCCAGTGTGGAAGCCTGACAATTTGGTCAGCAAACTGTTTCACAGGTTTGTGTTTTTTCTCCTAAATCAGAATACTACCCAACTTCTGAAAAACAAAAGTCTCACTCAGCAGAAAGTAGGCTGAGAACAGGAGGATCACAAGTTTGAGGCTCAATTGAAATACATAGTGACTTCCAGACCAACGTGGGAAAGATAACCAAACTCTCTCTCAAATTAAGAAACAAGAAACTCAAATGCCTGAAAACCACTCTGAAAGGGGGAGATCATGCAACGTCCACTTAATCAAGCTCTTACCAAATATGAGCCTCAGAACAAGATCCTACTGCATGTAAACATGGCATATTTATAAAATGCTCTGGATTCAGACCATTTCGAACCTTTTTACCATGAGCTCTAAATGGACTAAGAAAATGTTTTTTTCTCATGGGGCTTGAACTCAAAGCCTGAATGCTTTCCTTGAGCTCTTTTTCTCAAGGCTATTGCTCTACTACTTTGAGCCACAGCCCTACTTCCAGTTTTCTGCTGGCTAAGTGGAGATAAGATTTTCAGGGAGCCTGGGCAGGAGGGAGGTGGGGGTGTTGGCAAAGTAGAGGGGCCAGTAGCGTACACTTCTAATCCTAGCTACTAAGAAGGCTGAGACTGAGGATCTCAGTTCAACACCAGCCTGGACAGGAAAGTCTGTGAGAGTCTTATCTCCAATAAAACACCAGAAAACTGGAACTGGTTCTGTGGCTCAAGTTAGAGTGCTGGCCTTTGGCTGAAGACCTGAAGGACAGTGCCTAGGCCCAGAGTTCAAGCCCTTTGAAAAACAACAACAACAAAAACAAGAACAAAATGTCTCATGGGGGGCTGGGAAGTTGGCTCAGTGGTAGCGCTCTTGCCTTGCAAGCCAGAGGCCCTGGGTTCCATTCCTCAGCACCACATGAGCAAAAGGAAAAAAGCGGGAAGTGGCAATGTGGCTCAAGTGGTAGAGTGCTAGCCTTGAGCTGAAGAGCTGAGGGTCAGTGCCCAGGCCCAGAGTCCAGGCCCCAAACCAGACCCAAAAATACAAAAAAACAGAATGTCTCATGGACTTTCTTTCCCAGGCTGGCTTTAAAGCACAATCCTGAGATCTCAGCCTCCTGAGTAACTAGGATGACAGTCATGAACCACCAGTGCCCAGCTCAACCTAGAAAATCTGATCCCCAAGTGTTCTGAAAATCTGCTTATGCTCTGCTCTGGCCTAACAACTTAACAATAACAATTATGTTAATTTTTTAAAGTCAGAAATTGGGGCTGGGAAGGTGGCTCAGTGGTAGAGCGCTTGCCTTGCATGCCTGAGGCCCTGGTTCGATTCCTCAGCACCACATAAGCAAAAAGAAAAAAGCCGGAAGTGGCGCTGTGACTCAAGTGGTAGAGCGCTAGCCTTGAGCTGAAGAGCTGAGGGACAGCGCCCAGGCTCAGAGTTCAGGCCCCCCAACCAGACCCCCCCAAAAAAAAAAAAAAGTCAGGAATTATCTATCTGCTCTGAGTATTATGTTGTTCCCTTTTATCCTGGAGCTTTGTGGCAGAGGGCCAGCTTTAACTGAAATGGATGCATTCATCATTGCACTGAAGAGGAATTGGTTTGCAATCTCACTGTGGGTCCATCAACATATGACTAGATGTCTGCATTACATTAGGCCTCATTGTTCCACTCATTTCAACCAGTTCAAAAGCCATTTCTGAGCTGAACTCTTAGATTAGGTAGAGGATTTAGGGTGTCCTTGGATTCAAACCAGTACAGAGAAAGAGAGACAGAGAGAGAGAGACAAAGAGAGAGAGAGACAGAGAGATAGACAGAAAGACAGACAGATAGACAGAGAAAGAGACAAAGACAGACAGACAGAGAAATTAAAGGAGGGAGGGAGGTGGAAAGGAAGAAGGGAGGAAGGAAAAGAGGAAGGAATGAAGGAAGGGAGGGAGGGAGGATCGGAGAAAAGGAGGAAGAGAGGAAGGGAAGAAGGAAGCCAGGAAGGAATGAAGGAAGGGAGGGAATAAACCAATATCATTTTATTTTTTGAATCATAGTTTTTATTTTTCTTCATAGTCCCGAACACTCACCTTTTCTGTTTCCTTTTCGCAGAGGCAAGGTAGCTACTTTATACATCATAGGAAATAAAACAGCAGTGAAAATTGCAGACCCAAAACAGGCATATAGAACTACTGGTAGAACTGGATATTGTCCTTGAAGAATTCCGGTTAATGCAGGAATAGCCATTAGCCCCAAGGCAGCACCAATCAAAATAAATGCAGCAGATTTGCCACTGATGGTGGTGTACTGTTGCATCCAAGAAAAAACACTGGGATTCGGGGTGGCCGTGGAAGCCCCATACACAGAAGTTGCTATCCAGAGACAAAGGGAGCTCCTGTCAAAAAGCACCAGAAACAAACAGGAGGCCAGGCTGCCAATGTTGCTCAACACAATCATGGTGGCAGGACGTAAACACCCAGCAAAGAGCATTGCCAGGCCCCTGCAGGCTGCGAAGGTCCCCCAAAAGATGGAGTTCAAGCCAGCTGCCTCTCTCTCGTCCATGCCAACATGGGTGGTGGCAAAGGAGAAAAGGTAAGAAGTGTATGTTGCCAGAGCCCCAACAGAGAAGAAGAAGAACAGAAAAAACAGACAGAGAAGGGCCTTGTGGTATTGAGCTCTTCGAGATTGCTGAGCAGAGGCTGTTGTTTTTCCCTGCCTTGAGCTTTTCATGAAGAACAGAGCAAAGAAAAGGAGAGAAACTACGAGAATGTAAGTGCCTATGGAAGCATAAGCCCACAGTAAGTTCATGTCATGGGGAGCTGCGAGTAGAGGGTCTGAGGCGGCTTCAGAAGAGGCATTGAGGGCTGCAGGGAGAAAGTCGGGCTCTGTGTGGTTGTCAGCAGACACTGTGGGGCCCAGCGCCAGTTTAGCCAGCAGGGGAGCCAGGAAGGCGCCCAGGGCAAAACTGAAGTCTGAGGCCTGCATGTGGGGGGGGCTTTTGTCCCCCCAAAGAGCCACGATGAGCACTTTCCCACCTAGCAAAGAGACACAGAGAAAGTTTTAAGTTATACACAGAACTTAGTAACACTGGTCCTGAGGCACTTCTGTGTCTCAGCAGCCCTAAGCCACTACCACCACGCCCAGACAACAATGTTCTTACAGCCAGGCTCAGTACTAAGGCTTGTTTTAAAACAGTTCCAACTCTGATCAGATGCTGGTGGCTCACACCGCCAATCCTAGCTACTCAGGAGGCTGAGATCTGAAGGTTATGAATTTGTAGGCAGCCCCAGCAGGAAAGTCAGTGAGAGTCCAATTAACCACTAGAAAACAGAAAGTGAAGCTGTGGCTCAAAATGACAGAATACTAGCCTTTAGCAAAGAAGCTCAGGAACAGTGCCCTTGCCTTGAGTGCAAACAAACAAGAACAAAAAGTAAATAAACAAAAGTACTGCCAATTCCCCATTGGAGACTAATATTATTATATCTACTTGTATATTTTAAAGACTTATACATATTTGCCAGGCAAATTAAATAGTGAACAAATCACCGAAGGGTTTCATATGGTAGGCCATTGAAGAGTTTATTTTTTTTAATGTAAAAGGTAGATTCAAACTATCCAGGCAGGACTTGATTACAGGATTCTGTTGAGCTCATTACAGACAAGAATATCAAGTTTTCTGTTTTGTACTTAGATTTCAGATATGCACATATTTCCCCCTGGAATTTTATAGTCAAACAAAATGTGAAAGATGGAATATGTGCATGGTCTGACAATGAGCATGCAAGGAGGCTAGAATTAAAGGATAAAGAGCTATCACAGGTGTCATTTAGTCACGTTTTGAAGATGGGTGGAGAATAGGAACTTTAGAGGGTAAAAAAAAAAGAGTAGAAAAGAAATAGGAAAGTTGTGCCAGGATTCTCTAAGCTTAAAACCAGGTGCTGTCTCTATGCTTGTACAGCCAAATAGTGGTTCTACATTTATTTCAGCTATCAAACCACCATTGTCTCTCTCCCTCTCTCTCTTTTTTTTTTTTTTGTCAGTGGTAGGACTTGACCTCTGGGCCTGAGCGCTGTCCCTGAGCAAATCAGCTTAAGGTGAGTGCTCCACCAACTGAGCCACAACACCACTTCCAGTTTTCTGGTGGTTAGTGAGAGATAAAAGTCTCATGGACTTTCCTACCTGGGCTGGCTTTGAACCATGATCCTCAGATCTCAGCCTCCTGACTAGCTAAGATTATGGGCGTGAGCCACGGGTGTCCGGTTCCATCATTGTCTCTTATACCACAATGATAAAGATTGATCTCAAAATGATAGATTGATCACCTTTGTTTTAATTATCCATAGGCAGAGTGATTGGATTTTTATTTGACTTTATTTTATTTTTTTGTACTCTTTTTATTTTGTACTAGTGCTGGGACTTGAAATCAGGGTGTGCACACTGTTGTTTAACTTTTTTGCTCAAAGCTGTCACTTTACCATCTGAGCCACACTTCCACTTCCAGCTTTTTGCTGGCTAATTGGAGATAAGAATCTCACAGACTTTACTGTGCTGACTTTGAACTATGTTCCTCAGATCTTAGCCTCCCGAGAAGTTAGGATTATGGGCATGAGCCATCAGCAACTTACAATATTTTAAATGAACAATCTTTCAGAGCTTTCAGATGTTCAAAATTCCACTAACCTGTATCCAGAACACCAAAAGAGACACCCATGGCAGACATCATGACAATCAGCAACACTGCAGTCTTGCAAAATGGAATAAGATAAGTACTCACAGTGAGGACCCACATGGACAGCCCTGCAAACGAGAGTCAAACGTCAGCTATGAAAGCAGCATTTGGGCTGGGAATGTGGCTGAGTGGTAGAGTGCTTGCATAGCATGCATGAAGCCCTGGGTTTGATTTCTCAGTACCACATAAACAGAAAAACTCAAAGTGGCACCATGGCTCAAGGGGTAGAGTGCTAGCCTTGAGTACAAGAAACTTAGGGCTAATGCCCAGGAACTGAGTTCAGGCCCAGGAATCGCAAAATAAATTAATAACTAATAATGATGCTAATTAATGAATTAAACCAGCATTCCTCCAGGGTCATGAGTCAAGCCAATATCATTAGAGCTTCCAGGAGATTCATGAAGGCAGGTTTGCTTTTAGGGTGATGACAGCTTAGAATTAAAGCTGTTATTTTTTTCTGCTTGATGTCTATATGGACTATTAATTTTGTATTCAATGTGTCATGAGCAAACTGAGTTAAGGCTTAACGATTAATGGATGAAGAAAATCACACCTGTAAATAATAAAATAATTTTTTTAAAAGCTTCCAAAACACAAAGTAAGTTCAAGTTAAAAAGTTTCTCCAATTAGTCATATCATTAAAATATTTTAAGATCTTTGTGTATTATTAAATCTATATATGATACCACTAAGCAAATCTTTATCACAGAAGAGACAAAATTTATTTACTTAAATAGTTTACATTTAAGAACCCAAAAGAGCCGGTCATTAGTGGCTCAGGCCTGTAATCCTAGCTACACAGGAGGCTAAAATCTGAGGATCACAGGTCATGAGTTCAAGCTCCATGACTGGAAAAACAGAGAACCAAAAGGGACTTTTAAATATGGTACAACTAATATAATAGTGTTTAGTAAATCAGAATAAATTGTTTTGGCAAATAGTGAAGCAATTCAAGGCACATTTACTATTAGGCTGGACATGGGATTCAGTGATAGACCTCTTAGGTAGCATGTGTGGGGTTCTGAGTGGGATTATCAAGATGACAAAAAAGATTACACACACACACTCACACACACACACTCACACACACACACACACACACACACACACGCGTATGTGTATCTTTGAAAGCTACTTTGGAAATAAGAAGGATATTTTATTTAGTTATCAGTAAATGTAGATTATTCTCCTTGCTTCCAAAGGTGCTTTGTCAGATGGATCTAGATTTTCTTGAAACCCATGGCCCTGTTCAAACCACAGCATGCTAAAAAGCGATCCCAGGGGCTGGGAAGGTGGCTCAGTGGTAGAGCGCTTGCCTTGTATACAGGAGGCCCTGGGTTTGATTCCTCAGCACCACATAAGCAGAAAAAGCCAGAAGTGGAGCTGTGGCTCAAGTGGTAGAGGGATAGCCTTGAGCTGACCAGCTGAGGGACAGTGCCCAAGCCCAGAGTTCAGGCCCCATGACTGACAAAAATAAATTAAAAGAAAACAAAATAAAAAGCGATGCCAGGCTGCAGCACAGCGCTCTGGGCTCACCACTAACATGGAGACAAATGTGCAGCCTGTGTCAGTTTGTCACCATCTCCTGCCCCACACTGTCAACCCAGAGTCCAGAGAGCCTGGCCACATTCCACAGCTCATCTGGCTTCAGGTAGCCCTAGAGACCTGCCCTACACCCAATGTGCAGAGCTTTGGGACAAGTGTGTGACATGGTGCCTCAGTTCCAGTGGAGGTCGGGAGGCTCAGGACTGCCATCAGCACACCTGAGGGTTAATCAAGGCTCTGGGTGGCCCAGCCCAGATGCCCTGTGGCTGCCAAGGTGAGAGCCACAGAGAAAGACCTGGCTTGTGTGGAGGACCCTGAAACACCATTCATTTCAGTTGTCAACAAGTTTCCTTATTGTAAATATGAAGTTGTAAATTCACTGACAGGTACAAAGAAGCAAAGATCATTGTTTCCTTACCCAGAAGTAAAAACTGATTCATACAGTCCAAAAGAACTCCTCCAATCAAAGAGCCACACAAATATCCTAAAGCACGACCCACAAATATTTCAGAAAGACTGCTGATATTGCGGTTCACGTTAGTGGCCAGATCTTGAAACGTGGGTCCCAGTATAGAACCACTTAGTCCCTGAAATATTAAAAAAAAAGCCAAAAATGTTTGCTTATCAAAACAATATGCATTTAGCTCACATCCATTACAGAAAAATGGGGAGATGATACAAAGCAAAGTAGAGAATGAAGTCAAGGACCTGTGACACTAAAGAGTCTCCATCTCATAATCAGTCACCCTTTTGTACTTGTATTTCCTTGTTCTTATAGTTGCTGGAATTGTTTGCCTCTTCACTTCAAGAGGCAACTGTCAGCTGTGTTGTTTGTAACCAGCCAGCTGTGTCAGGGGTAGGAGTCCTTACCAAGGACTTAAAGAACATCCCCTTGGGGCTTGTTGACAACAAGTTCCCAAGTGGGAACTTTCCTCTGAAAGAATGCTGTCTAGCTTCTTTAAATCAGCCAATCACAAACAGAATGTGAGCTGGACTCCTATTGGTAGGAGGGAGCCTATTGGTAGGAGGGAGGGCACCACTCTTTGTAGTAGCATAAAAACCAAGGGGGCTGGGTCTACCTGCCTAACTCTGGGTAGAGTGCCTATGCACCCTTCTGTGCAGAAGTGAATTGACTGGACTAAATCTCCTTGTCTCTTGAGTGCCCCATTCTGACACTGGAGGGTCCCATACTTCTAAGAGCCCACAGGAAAAAAAACCCATACAGTGACACTCCTGTCATCACTAGAGCTGTAGACTCCAACTGCTTTCCTTCTCATCAAAATTTTTAATTTCATCAGGTTGTGATAGTGCATTTCTGAATTCCATTGTTTAGACAGCAGGATGATCTCAAGTTCAGGGCCTCCCTGGACTAAAATAGCAAGATACAGACTCCAAAACACAAAACAAAACAAACCTCGGCCGGTTTCAAAACTGTTTATTTCTTGTAACATTTTGTTGTAGTTAGTTCACTATTTGAATAATAACTTGAAAGACTACTTTGAGAAGAGCAATTGTTTTATACAACAACTTAAAGATTGGAAGAAGATGGAGGAGGAGGAAGAGGAGGAGGAGAAAGAAGGGGAGGAGGAGAAAGAGGAGGAGTAGGAGAAGGAGGTGAGGAATAAAAGGAAGAGGAAGGAGGAGGAAGAAGAGGAAGGAGAAAAGAGTGTATTGAAAGTTAGTAAGTAGCTGGCTGGGAATGTCAGTCAGTGATATAGCATCTGCCCACCTTGCCTGAGTTCCTGTATTCAATCTCCAGCATGGCAAATAAAAATAAATGAATTTATGTGTTTATTTATCACATGTGGATTGCATAATGTTCCATTAACTTGACAACAATAAATCTATTCTTGAGATCATTCTTAAATTCTAAGCATACCACACGCACTACTTTCCTGTCTTCCTCCTTCCTCTTCCCCTTCTCTTCCTTTCAGCTGTTTCAACTCAGGGCCTGGGCTCCATCGTCCCTGAGCTTTTTCTCTCAAGCTTACCTCTCTACCATGAGCCACAGCTCAACTTGCAACTTTTCAGTTGTTCATTGAAAAGATTCTCACAGACCTTCCTGCAAGGGCTGGCTTCTTCCATTCTCAGATACCAGCTTTCTAATAGTAGGATTATAAGTGTGAGCCACCCACCCTGGATAATTTTTCCTTGGAAGACTGACATGGGCTATGAGGACTGAAGTTACCCTCCAGAGACTCCCAGGAGAACCAGCGATGGAATATTTAGAATGGACCAATCAGGGCCTCTTGTGCCTGCCAGTCTCTCAGGGCACCTGGGGGTCATGAGAGAGAATTCTCTTCCATTTGAGCATCACAAATTTGGGTTTTGAGCTCTCTGGAGCTGAACTAAATCCAGGATCACACTGAATTTGATGATTAACTGGCTCTTATCCAGTCAGAGACCCCCTATTGAAAATAGATTCCTCCAAATCTAAGGAGCCCACTTGCTGAGGCTAACTTGACTCACAAAAATTATGGACCCAGAATAGGTGTGTGTCTAGAAACACACCCAGATCTGAAAACCTTAGAGAAGGAGAGAAATCACCAACCTTTGTGGAAGAAGATGTGGGTCGCAGGGGAGCGGAGGGATCTTTAGATGGATCGGGTATTTAGATGGAGGGCCTGTGAAGAGCACTGACAGGGAACTGAGCAAGGTAACCCTAAGTCTCAGCGAGCCAGGCCAAAGGGCAAGGCAGGACTGAGGAGCTGGGGCTCAGCTTGGTGAAGAGATAGATCCTGATGGCTTCCCACAGGCCAGCAGGCCTCCTGTTCCCCTGATTACAAATGCCTCAAAAAAAAGGAAATTAGAAATGCTTATATAAGTGAGGAATTCTCTCTCTCAAAAAGAAAACTTAAAGGGCTGGGATGTAGTTCAGTGTCAAAGCACTTCCCTATCAAGTGCAAGATCCTGGGTTAGTTTCCCAGTACTAAAAAAGAAAAAGTCCTCCACCCAAAAAAAAAAAAAAAAAACGTTAAAGAAGAGGAAGAGCCAGGCACTGGTGGCTCATGCCTGTAATCCTAACTACTCAGGAGGCTGAGATCTGAGGATCGCAGTTCAAATCCAGTCGGGGCAGGGAAGATCAGAAGACTCCTATCTCCAGTAAACCACCAGAAAACCAGAAGTGGCGCTGTGGCTCAAGTCGTAGAGTGCTTGCCTTGAACTGAACAGCTGAGGGACAGCACCCAGGTCTAGAGTTCAAGCCCCTTGACTGACCAAAAACAACAACAACAACAACTACAAAAACAACAACCTGCATTCATTTCAAATTTATTTGCCTTGGGTAGTCTTCGGTTAATAGAAAAAATATTGGCTTACTATTAAAAGGCATGTCTTTAGCGTCATCTCCACTAGATGTAATACAAACAGAAATGTTCCTGTGAAAGTTTCCTGATAAAGTACGCTTGTGTTAACTCCATTGTACCAAATGTATCAGCAAGAATATTTGGTGATGACTAGCTGTTCAAGATCTACTCTTTATAAATGGTCCAACACAAATGTTAGAAATTAAGTGAATTAAGTAGACGTAAAAAGATGTTATTCCTATAATAGAATATTTTATTATTATCAAAAATTAAAAGTTGGGACTGAGGGAAATCTATGCAACTCATCTTTTTGTTTTTCTTCTTCTACTTTTTTTTTTTTTTGCTCATCCTGGGGCTTGAACTCTGACCTGGCTCTGTCCCTGAGTTTTTGTGCTTAAAACTAACACTCTACCTCTTTGAGCCACAGTGCCACTTCCAGCTTTTGAGGGGTTAGTGGAGATAAGCATCTCATGGATGCCCATGCCTGGGCTGGCTTTGAACAGTGATCCTCAGATCTCAGCCCCCTGAGTAGCTAGGATTAAAAGTTTGAGCCAGCAGTGCCCACCCAAAACATAATTTAATTCTTATGGCCATACAAACCAAACTATCAAGACTATCAAGTACACTATCAAGTACACTAATAAAATTTTGCTTCTTCTACAGTTGGTCGTTCCAGAGCCTAATGCTATTTGGAAGTGTTAGTGCATGTGTGTGGCACACTGAGGAATTTCCCTGGCCTTGAGCAGCTCTGATCCAGAGATCTACCCTCTGCTCATTACCAGTGTGGCATTCCCCAGGGCTTGTTTGCTAGTGTTCACTAGAAATTGGCACCAACAAAGAGAAAGGTTTTAAATTAATAGAAGAAACTGATGTCACTAGAAATAGGAAGGGGAGCTCTGAACGCAACTGTACAGGAATGTGGAAGGCGATTTGGGTAATACTATAAGGTATGAAGATATTTGATTGAGGGTAAATGGATTAATTTTTGTTCTAAAGTAGAAAGACTGGTTGTTCTCAAATGAGAAGAGGAAAGAACAGGACAAAATCCAGATGGATAAGAACTTTGTATAATGTTGACTTTGGTGTTCAAGGATATTCATAAAAAAGACCATAAACTACAGGGTTCTTTTTTGTTTTTTTGTTATAGTTGGTCGTGGGGCTTAAACTCTGGGCCTGGGCAATGTCTCTGAGCTCTTCAGCTTGCACTATAGCACCTGAGCCACAGTGTAACTTCCAGTTTTCTGGTTGTTAATTGGAAATAAAAGCCTCACAGACTTTCCTGCCTGGGCTGGCTTTGAACCACCATCCTCAGATCTCAGCCTCCTGAGTAGCTAGGATTATAAGAAAGAGCCACCAGTGCTCAGCAACTACAGAGTTTTGACAACTTTAAGACTCTTCCATCAGATTGGGTAAGACGTTTCAGAGCTTTGATGATGAAACGAAATGCCTCATAAACATCAAGCTGATCTTTAACCAAACATGAGGAAAAGCAAGAATTAATTAAATACTAAGGAAAAGATTTTCAGATTGTCATGCTAAGTCAGCTACCACTGACTTTGTTAAGATATTCAGTCAAGGACTAGTAGTTCACATCTGTAATTCTAGCTACTGCTGAAGCCAGCTAAGGGAAGGAAAGCCTAAGAGATTTTTATCTCCAAATAACCAGCAAAGAAAAAGGAAGGAAGGAAGGCAGGAAGGAAGGAAGGAAGGAAGGGAGAGAGAGAGAAAGAGAAAGAAAGAAAAAAGAAAGAAAGGAAGAAAGAAAGAAAGAAAGACAAACAATCCAGGAGTAGAGCTGTATCTCAAGTGGTAGAGCACTAGCTTGAACACTAAACACAAAAGCTCAGGGACAGTGACCAGGCCTTGAGTTCAAGCCCCAGAACCAGCATAAAAAACAACAACAACAACAACAACAAAAGTGGGGATTACTTAGTAAACAAAACTTTCATAATATCACTTTAAATCCAGAAGCAGTAAGGTTCATTCCACTAAATGAGGTTACGCATCATGAAGTGGAAAGCATGGTATAGGGGATGATTTAAAAGGTAACTTTCTCATGGATGTTGCTCAGGAGGTATACAGATTTATAGACAAACAAATTTGACTTCTGCTTAACGGCCATCAGCAGGCGATCTCGCCCAGCCCTCAGTTCAGCCTTCTGGCCTGGTCAAATATTACTCTTGGCTTGGCTGTCTCCTTCCTCTGTATCTTTACCCTGACCATGCACTTACTTCTTGTACTCAGAGACAAAAGCTGTCAACATAAAAAATGTGCACTCTCTTTGCAGGTGATAAAGGTAAGTTTCAGGGAGGAACATTGTTCATAGGGTTCTTAGTCACTGGCTCTTGGCAGCAGCGCAGTGCCACACTCATATGGAATTCAAAGCTAACCTCTAAGTTGGGGAACACTTTGGATCTGGTGGTTAAGCAGACCTCCCTGGGGCTCAGAGGGTAGGAGCCATGCTCTCAAAGGCAAGAGAAAACAAGGATGTTTCACAATTCCTTGGAGGAACAGCACTTAGCTTTACAGCTCCTCCTTGCCTGTGTTGGGCTCATGTGAGGGGCTGAAGAATACTGAGTACTTAACTTTCCAATGTGGTCAAAGAGGTCAAAGGAGGAGTTGAACAGGTGGCCGACAGGCTGGGGTGTAGTTCAATGGGCAGAGCACATACTTAGCATATACAGTAGGCCCTGGATTCCAACCCAAGCACACACACAGGAAAAGATGGCTGATGACTCTTGTTTCTTTGTTGTTGTTGTTGTTGTTGTTGTTGTTGTTGTTGTTGATGGGGGGGCTTGAACTTGGGCCTGGGTGCTATCTCTGCACTCTTCAGCTCAAGGCCAGTGCTCTACTGCTTGAGCCACAGCTCTTGTTTCTTAAGACACTACCACCCCATCCACTGCAGAGACTCCTCAGAGGAGAAGAACACACCCATGCCTGTGAGCTGCTGACTGGCGGTTAGCAGGCATCTTGAGTGGTTGATGGCAAGGTTTTTTACTCTTCATCTAAATTTCTAATCTTCCTTTAATGAGTCTCCAGGTCCCTGTTTCTGGGCTAATTACAAAAATGGTTGACTTCTTTTCCTTGTTGGTGCTGGTACTGGACACTTGAACGCAGAGCATAGGGGCTGATCCTTAACTTTTCTGCTCAAGGTTGAAGATCTACTACTTAGGGCACAGCTCTTGGAGATAAGAATCTCTCAGATTTGTCTACTCCAGCTGGCTTTGAACCACAGTCTTCAGATCCCTACCTCTGAATAGGCAGGAATACAGGCATGAGCCATCAAGGTCTGACTTCGATTACATTTTTTTTTATGTCAGGCAGTTACAAATACAACTATGAGCTTTAATCATAGCATTCTCTGAACAAAGATAATGACCACTAGTGCCTGAATACTGTTCTACTCTCTTTATTAAGGGGATATTAGATCATTTCAATCAGTTTGTTCATAGAGATACTTGTTATAAAGAGTATTTTGGCTTCTGGATATATCTTCCTGACAGTCATAACAATAGTCTCCCTGATATATTCCCTCATGAGTCATGAATGTCCTAAGCAGCCATTCCTGTTCATCAAATGATCAACAGAAACATGAAGCAAGTATAAGGAATCATAAAGCAACTCTGTCATTGTAATTGTGGCGCTAGCCAGTGGTGACTCATACCTGTAATCAGAGATATTCAGAGATGCTGAGACCCAGAGGCTCAAGATTTGAAGCCAGCCTGGGCAGAGAAATCCAGGACCCTTATCTCTAATTAATCAGCAAATTGCTGCATTGGAGATGTGGCTCAGGTGGTAGAGCACATGAGCAAAAACACCAGGGAGGAGTGTAATGCCCTGTGTTCAAGCTCTAGTACCAGCATAAACAACAATAACAAAAAAAACAAATAGCAAATTCCATAATTAAGCCAAGATGGCCATGGTCATGTGGTGACAGAATTGCTGCCAGGGCTCAAGATTTCAGTCACTTGAACTTTCTATCAACATTCTTGTCAATTTCCACTAACATGAACAGCTAACAAAAGAGGGAATTGTTAATTTGATCTGCAGCTGCCTGTGTATAGAGGGATCTGTAACCACCTGAAAATATGATCAAACTTGGACCAGAGAGACTGTTAGTTGATCAAGAAGCTGTACAGTCCAGAGTGCAGCCCATCCCAGCCTGCAAGGTGCCAGAAATGTCAAAAGAGGCAAATTCACTAAAACAGGCAAAGTCATTCCCGTGTCACTTTCTTGCTCTGCCAATAGACATCACCTGCACAGGCTCCCTGACGGAGCTTGGCAAACAGTTGCTGTTCAGGTGTTTCCCAACACCTAAATCCTCAAACATTCCTTTGTGCAAAGAAAGTGATATTAAAAATGACTTGCTTAGGGCTGGGAAGGTGGCTCAGTGGTACAGTGCTTGCCTTGCATGCATGAGGCCCTGGGTTCGACTCCTCAGCACCACATAAGCCAAAAGAAAAAAGGCCAGAAGTGGCGCTGTGGCTCAAGTGGTAGAGCACTACCCTTGAGGTCAAAAGCTGAGGTATAGCGCCCAGGCCCAGAGTTCAGGCCCACGACTGGACCCTACTCCCACCAAAAATTGACTTGCTTAATTTTATAATGGAGGTTAGCAAGAACTAAGGGTTACAGTTGCCTTTCAGGGCTAATTCCTTGAACCCTTTAAGAAAAATGTTTTCACATTGTCTATTTTGGAGAATACTTGGCTCTAATTACACTGCTACTCCAAAGGCAAGCCCCCCTCCCACCTCCCCTCCCCCCACCGAGCTCACCAGGAGCAGGCACAACTAAGGACCAGGACCAGCACACAGGTGCACAGCAACCACTTAGTACACTACAAAGTTAGGGCCTTGGCTGCATTCAAATTACTCCATGTCTTCTTAAGATTTACAAGTGTGGGCACAGTGAGTGGGAACTCACCAATCACCTGCAGTGACACTTTCCTTAGACCTTCTCCCTCCCTGCAATGACAAAGCTTTGCAGCAATCCTGCCTCTGAGTCTCTGAGATGCTTAAGTGACCAGGAGTGACTTCACGGGGTTCATCTTCCCAGACCCCCAGATGGCAATTGTCAAATGCAGAAATGGAAGCTACCCAAGGGATTGGCAAAAGGTGTACATAGCCTAAACTATACTCCACTATTTTTATATTTCTTATAAGAAAAACTGAAGGGTGGATTAGAATTAGGGCAGAGTACAAGACAGGTACCTAACTTTACCACTGAGCAAGAAACGGAATCTGGAAAAGTCATTTTCCTGTTGATTTCAATTCTGTCTGCAAAGTTAAGCAGCCAGGCCTTACAAAAAGAGGAAACCCCAGAAAAGCACTTTTCTCTGTAACAATTTGGGCAGGGGCTAGAGACCCAAGAAACCTCTCTTGTGTCTGGGCCAGGACCTAAAGGAATCTTACAAAAGTTTGAGACAGTTGAAACACATAGTAGGACACTCAATTTCATACTCCACCCTCCACGATTAGCATTGTACCCCAGGGTTGGACAAGGACACTGAGGCCAAGCAGATGAGTGGTTCCTCAGTGCTCAAGTAGGAAGAAGCAGGACTCCAGGGGGAGAGCACAGCCCTGCAGGACCCCTGCTAGAACCCAGCCTGGGCGCAGCCCAGCTCTCACCATCCCCAGGAAGGCCAGACACAGGATCACGGTGGTGAACCAGCGCAGCACGCTCCCGGCATGGCCACTCGGCCTCCGGGACACCGCCACTGCCAAGGGCTCTTTCTGGGCAGGGGCCTGGGCCTGGAGGAGCCGCTGCCCGGCAGCCCCCGGCCCACCGAGGTCGGCTTCCAGCTCCAGCCTGGCGGCCTTTTGCTGCCTGGGGATCCCGGGCTCTGAGCACTGGTCCCTCCAGCCGCAGAGGCCTCTGGGTGCCACCTCCCCCCACGGACAGTGCTAGGTCAGGGTCCGAGAATTGAGACTTTGGACTGGGCACGTCTTGCAGGCTGGAGACAGGAGCCTCTCCACTTAGCACAGCTCCTGCAGACAGTGGTTGGCCTTTCCTCATCCAGGACCTGTCTCCAAGGGAGAGGAAACTCGGTTGCCTGGGAAACGGAGAGTCGCTTCCCACTGCAGCATCTCTGCCAGGGAAGCCCACAGACACCCGCCGACGGCGCCTCCTGGTGGAGGGACATGTAAATGCAGCCTCGGAACAGCTGCATCCTCTGGGCTGACACCCTCTGCCCCATGTTCTGGGTTCTCTAGGACCACCGCAAGAGGACCCCGCCAGAGCTCTGCCTGAGCCTCTCAGCGTCACCAGAGGGCTCCTGGGCGCAGCTCCCTCTGCGGACTCTCCACTGTGCTGGGATGGACAAGGGTCTCTGCATGCAGCCCATGCTCACCGCAGCCAATTCCAAGATTTGACAGGCAGCACAGACACAGCTGGGGCCAGGTCGCAAGCAGGAGTTAGTGTGCATTTGTGGAGTAGTTCAGCGTTTCCTCCTCTCCCTGTGGCTAGATGGACACGAATAAAATTCCATAAGAAATGAAAAGTTCCAAACTCTAGTGAGGTAGTGCAAGTTGCAGGCTGTAGCAGAAAATGATGAGAAGGGTTACTTTTGCAATGTTCTACCACTAAGCTATACACAAGTAGACCAAGACTCTTAATCCTCAAGAACAGGAGATATTGACTTGAGTAACATTCATTTAATCTACTGGTTGTAAAAACAACACATAGTGTGCTTGCCCTCACAATGAAGCCATTCTTGCAGCAGGCAATCCTAAAGCAAGTGAGTGTGAAAATGCCATTCACCAAAATGGACAGGTGTACAGCAATGAATGTGCTGAGAGAAGACGAGGTGTGGTAGGTTGGGAAAGACCTAGGCTGTGTGGTGAGCCAGCCACCACTTCCAACCTCATCATGACAAGATCACGTCCAGCACTGCAAAGATCCATCCATATAGTCACTAAAGCTACCAAAGTCAGAGAACACTATTAAAGGTACAGCTTTATTAGTCCACAGATAATCAGCTAATAGAAATGGAAATGTTAGAAATGGAGGACCAACAATGGGGTACAAGAGAAATCATCAACATGGCTACAAAAATGAGGGAGATGACTCAACAAGACAAATATGGGGGAGAGGGGTTCAGCACACACATGAGCCCTTCACAGAAGGGTGGGCAACTCAGCAAGATGCTTGAGAGATAGAAGGACCAATCAGGAGCCTCCGTGCAGCATAAGTCCACCCCTCGACCATTCAGACCAGGAGTCCTCCCTCAGATCGTAGGAGGTAAAGGACTCTACATATAATAGCATCCAGAGAAACTGGGCATTCTAGGTTCTAGGATCCTTCCTTTTACAAGGAGTTCATTTTGCCATTTCATTCACTTCTCCTTTGTTGTTGTTATTGTTGTTGTTTTGCTTTCAAAAACACCTGCTCCTCCTTCTTTAAACACTTTCCTGCCCTTTAATTCTTTAATTGGAAGAGAAAACAAACTAGAACCCTAGACGGCATCAAACCTTTGACACTATTTCTTTTCCCCAGAATCCTTTGTTTTGGTTTCCTGGTGTCTATCTGCAAGACAGTCAGAGGCTGCCGCAGCCATGGTCCAAATGTTCCAGGTGTAGCTCCATGACAGTACGGCTCAGCAGACACAGCACGGTCCTCGGGATGCTGACTCTGCAGACATTCACAGTGAAAGAGTTGTGGGGCGCTCAGAGGCTTCCGCCCAGATTTCACATAAAAGCCTGGAAGGTCCAATGGCATGCAGCAGGCTCAGAGTGTCTGCAAGGAGTCCCTTATAGGACAATGCTTGGAGGCAGAGCCACAAAGGAGACCACAGCAAGATGCCAGAAACTTGACCTGTCTGCTTAGAGAATCTGCAGACAATAGACAGAACCAGCCAAAGAGAGTGAGTAAAGTCAGCAAAATCCTAGGGCTAGACTATTCAAGATATGAGAACCCACTATCTACTCCCAATCTTTTCCCTACTGACTTTATGTCTTGTTTTGGCTTGATCCCTTTTTCTTTCTTTTCCTTTTTCTTTTTATTGTAAAGTTTATGTACAGCAGGGTTACAGTTACGTAAGCTGCAGCACGTTTAAATAAAACAGCTGCAGAGTGTTACTATCGGTGGTCTTCTTGTGGGAGGGTCCTGCGGCCTTGGCATTACATATTAGTGGGGGCTCGTCTGGGATATGCCCCCAAAGACACCGGAGACTTCAGACTCCAATGGTAAAACAGCGCCGTTTTTGTTCATTTGTCTTGTCCGGTCGGTCATTTGTCTGTTTTACTTTCGTTTTCCTTTGTGAGGACGGTGTCCATTTCGTAAAGGGTTCTGGAAGCTGACTCGCTTGTACGACAACCCTTGAGGAACTGGGAGACGTCCCAGATCCTCTTGTGGGGCGGGGGTAACCCTGCAGTGTGGGTCAGGGATCCTTGGGACCCCGCCGTTTGGGGCAGGGGGAGGGTTCCTTGGAACCTCGCCCGTGTGAATGGTGGGCTGAGAGTCGGTTCTGAAGCCCAACTCGCTCACTGTGGGTCTGCTCCTTCTGCTGTGGGGTGTAGGTGTCCCAGGTCCCATTACAGGAGTCAGCGGACCAATTCGGGAGATCTCCACTTCTTTTTTTCGTAACTGTCAGGCCTGCGTGTGTCTTCTTTGTACTGTTTATTTATTTTTTTTTGGACTGAACGACTGACGGGACTGGAAACCGTGGGCACCACTCCATCTAGCCCCCTAGACTTACAAAAAGAAACTGAGAAAGAGGAAAAGAAAAGGTACCCCCCAGTTTTTCAGGGAGATAACTTGGAAGAAGAAATGTTTCCTCCCCCCTATTCCCCTTCCCAGGTTCCTTTTGCAGAACCTGAGAATGAGCAAGAGGAGGAGGGAGCTATAGAACCCTTGGCACCTGCCCTTAAAGTTTCTGAGGGGCCAGTCACTCTATGCCACCATGGGATCAACCCCCTTCTAGTGCAGCTGTTTTTCCTTTATGCGCTGTAGGTCCTGTGGATGCGGATGGTCAACAGCAACTCTAATATTGGCCATTTTCTACCAGTGAGCTATACAATTGGCACACCCAAAATGCCCCCGTTTCTGAGAAACCCTAGGATTTAATTCGTTTGCTTGAAACTATTCTCTTTACTCATCAACCCACTTGGGATGATTGCAGTCAGCTTTTACAGGTCCTTTTTACCATGGAAGAGAGAGACCCTATCCGAGAGGTGGCCCAGAAACCTATCCCTGGTCCCACAGGAGTGCCCATCACGGATCCTGCCCTGATCACTGCCTATTTTCCTGAGATCCGACCAATATGGGACTACAATACAGTTGAAGGTAGGGAGCAACTCCTGGTCTACCCCCAGGCTCTGTTGGCAGGTCTCAAGGTGGCGGCTCTCCGACCTACTAATATGGCCAAAGTTTATGATGTTAGACAGGGAGGAAGTGAAAGTCTGGCAGCATATCTTGAGCGGCTCTTGGAAGCTTTTAGTCAATATACCCCGCATGATCTTGAGACCCAAGAGTCGGCTTAGATGATTATGTTTGCCTCACCAGACATAAAGCAAAAGTTGCAGGCTCTAGACAGACTTGGTGAGAAGTCTATTAGGGATCTAGTAGCCGCAGTGGAAAAGGTTTACAATAAGAGAGAGACAGAGGAGCAAAGACAGGAAAGGAAGGACAGAGAACATGAAATTGAGCGTGAAAAGAGAGACTGGGCCAAGGAAAAGAGGCCAGACTTGTTGGACTCGCCACTATCGCATGCTGTGAACAAGGTATCTTGTTCACAGAGGGCAGCAGTTTCATTCGGGATGGAAAAAGGTACGTGGGCGCAGCAGTCACTATGGACACTGAGATAGTGTGGGCAGAAGCACTTGACCAGGGAACGTCTGCACAAAGAGCAGAGCTAGTGGCACTAACAAAAGCCCTATAGATGGGAAAAGGGAAGAGACTAAACATTTACACGGACAGTCGGTATGCTTTTGCCACTGTGCATGTCCATGGAGCCATTTACCAAGAGAGGGGGCTGCTGACAGCTGAGGGAAAGACTATTAAAAACAAACAAGAAATTTTAAGCCTCATCCGGGCCATATGGGAACCAGCAAATATTGCCATTGTGCACTGCCCTGGCCATCAAAAGGGAACTGATTCAATAACCAAAGGAAATAACTTAGCCGATCAGGCAGCTAGGAGGCGGCCCTCCAGCCCAGAGCGGAAGTACTGACTCTAGTAGACCCAGGACCACGAGCTTTGCCTCCTGAGCCTCAGTACTCCCAAGAAGACTTTGAGTGGATAAAGAAAATTCCCATGGCCTATAAACCCCTGACAGAGAAGGAAACAAAGACTGGTGGGAAAATGGTGAGGGGAAACTTATCTTGCCACAAAGATTGGGGAAGGGGATTCTTAAGAGAATCCATCGGGTCTCTCACATGGGAACCCGAAGAATGCAGGACTTGCTCCGACACTCAGAAGTAAAAATTAGGCAAGGAAATCAACTCATTGAGGACATTGTTAAAAATTGTAAAGCCTGTCAGCTCACCAATGCCCCCAATCAACCCATTACAAAAGGAGCTCGCCTCCATGGAGATACGCCAGGTGTGTAGACTTCACAGAAGTTAAAACTGGAAAATTTGGATATAAATATTTGCTAGGTTTTGTAGACACTTTTTCAGGATGGGTTGAAGCCTACCCAACAAAGCATGAGACCACGAACGTCGTGGCTAAGAAGATCCTGGAAAATGGGGCTGGGAAGGTAGCTCAGCGGTA